ACTTCATTTTTCTTGCTTTGATTGGAGATTAAAATATTGACTTGGTTTTGTGAATGGTTATTGTATCCAAATCTTTAGCAGCGTACCATAGTACTTGATCTTTTATGCTAAGCATATTTAGTAATTCAAGCCTACTAAATTCTAAGTCTTTAGTTAAGCTGAAACAACTCTCTTACCAACTGATTCAAACACTTGCTAGTCGTAGTATATAATGTTAATTGACCAATTGACACGGTAAAAGATAATGTGGAGTATATAAGCAAAGTTTTTAATTGGCACAATGCATTAGGCGAGCAACTCAAAGACACGGCAAGCTTGTTGAATATGGACGACCCACAAAACCATGAAGTTGGATACATGTATGAAGAATATACAGAGTATATATGAAATGAAATGTTATTCCATTGTTGCCTGTGTCAATGTAATCATTGTACGTGCAAGTGTATTAAATAAACCAAAATTTTGAACTATTAAAATGTTGAGGGAAGATAAATTCTATATTTTGTTACTTGTGATAAATTTGCAGTCAAGCCTCTGGTGAAGACCGTGAAGACGTGAGGAACTAATCGAATCACATATCCCCATCCTCGTGTTTAAAGATGGTTTTGAAAGGCGTCAATGGCGCTTTGTCACTTTAGTTAGTGAGAGACATGGAGACTGGTGATCAAGTCACATTTTGAGAGGTTGAATACAATGTCAGCGTTGTTGCCCAATTCGGCTGATGTTTAAGGGGATACGAGGAAGAAACAGGAACTTTTATAGTCATCACTAAGCCATATCCTTGTTTAATTGGTGGTATATTACTTTGGTTGGGAAAAGGGAGAGGGAGGTAAAAGGGGAAGGAATGAAGAAAAGGAAACTAACTTTTTTATGTTACTAGTGAAAAAAGAAATGTATAGTATATTAATCTCCCAATTTTTTAGGATTGAAAGAAAGGTTTCTGCTAAAATACTTCCTGTCTTGAAGTTGGGAGATTATCCTCCAGCAGTTCAAAGAGGACTCAACTGTTAATACCCTCTTGGTTTCGGAGTGGACCCTTTCACTCTTTCGTATTCATATACTATACATCTCACGGCACATATCGACCTAAAGGTAACACCACGAGACCAAGGAGTTCACTATATCTTGTTCATATACTATACATCTCAAGGCACATAACAACCTACTGGCAACCCAATTGGGAGTTACAGGATCCATGGTACCTGCAGCCTTCCAGACCTCATATTCATCATCATGTTCAAAACTGAGGGAAGAGATCTCTTTTTAGCAACAGAAAAAAGAGCAGTTTTTGACTCGATTTGGGTTTAGTAAAGGACTAAAGGGATTGATTTCAACAAACTCGTCGTGACTAATTGGTTATTGAGCTGGGCACTTCTTTTGGTCACTTATGCGAGTTATGCCCCAGACACATTTTGAGTTGCAAATCTTACTAACAATTGATGGTCTGATACTCATACTCTGATAGTACTCTTACCTTTTTTTAATTTCATCTTTGATAGAAGTACGTACTATTAACTCTATAAGCTCAAAGTATCCAAACTTTTTAACTTATACCGTTATACCACATCTGGACACTAAGGGAATGGCCAAATCAACTTAAACTAACAAAGCACAATAAATCAAAATCAAAAATGATTTCACCATTGCAAAAATAATCTGAGTCCTTTGGTGGTAGCTAAATTATCTATGTTCATCATCTTCTTCTTAATTACTACTTGTACTTATTTTTATACAAACACACACTTAAGTTTTACAGTAGAAATATTTTAAACAAATACTTTATTTGTATATTATATATTGCATATAATGGCAATACAATGTCAAAAGGAAGTGTTCAGATTATAGATTTTTTATTACTGAAGTATAGATTCTAGCATAATTTTACTCAGGACTTATTAGAAAACAGGGTACTATAGCCCATATATTCACTAGTCAACAGGGAACAGGTCTGCAATATTTATCATCTAAATCAACCCTATACTCATCATCAACATATAACACCTCCACCACCTTCTCTCCCCAAAGTCTCCCCACCCATCAGCAAAACCACCCCTTCCCCTCTCAGCCCTTTCCTATGGCCGAAGAAGAATTAGGACTTTCAGAATGTGGCCCAACATGGCACAACCTTCTAGGGTCCAAAAACTGGGAAGACCTTCTAGACCCACTCAATGATGATCTCCGTCGTCTGATCATCCGGTGTGGTGACTTCTGCCAAGTCACCTACGACACCTTCATCAACGATCCTAACTCTGCCTACTGTGGCTGCAGCCGCTACGCCAAGTCAAACCTCCTCCGCAAGACTGCCTTCCCAGGTGGTGGGCATAAATATGATGTTGTTGGCTTCCTTTATGCCACAGCTCGGATTAGTGTTCCTGAGGCCTTTCTTCTAAAGTCGTTGTCACATGAGAGGTGGGATAGGGAGTCAAACTGGATGGGATATATTGCGGTTTCTAATGATGAGGTGAGTAGGGAAATGGGGAGGAGAGAGATTTATGTGGCGTGGAGAGGAACTACCAGAAGTTACGAGTGGATTGATGTTCTTGGAGCTAAGCTGCAATCTGCCAAGCCCCTCCTACAGGAAGGAGCTCTTGGTAAGAAACACATTTCTCTAGTGTCACGCTCTTCTTTTCAAGTCCTCGCATATTCCCTTTCACTCCTTCAAAATTTCTACAATCAGAGGGATTATCTAAAAACATATATTAAATGCAGATTCAGTTGTTAATGACAGACTAACACTGTCAGACTGTTTACAGAGATATTCATGAAATTGTTTGTATTAATAATGGCCTATCAGTGGTAGCTAAAATGTTAAACCCCCCATTAGTGATAGCTCACCTTGCTAATACCACGAACACAATAATACTGTACATAAGTTACTTTTCTACGTTTTCAACTGATCATTTGAAGTAACCATATATGGTCTCCAGTCTCCTATAATCAATTTACGTAAACATTTTAGAATAGGTAAGTCAAAGCATTAAAAGAATGTCTTAAGCAACAAAAAATAATAATTATGCATAAGTGGTTTTGGTGCACAAAAACAAAAAGACTGGTGTAGGAGCATATAAGATTTTGTGCATTTGTTATAAATTATAGATCATGAAAAATTCAGTGTTAAATGTAATGAAATGCATATATCAATATATGTGACCCAGTTAAGAAGTGAAAATAAAGGCATTATGCCATCATATAAGTCATTGTTTTGTTTGATATCTTGACATAGGATTAATTATCTTGTTCAACTCCTTATTCCACCAGACCATCATGAGAATGGAGAAGATGGTAGCGATAACGAAGATGATCACAGGTTGCCCAAAGTCATGAGAGGGTGGCTCACAATATACACATCTGACAACCCAAAATCCCCCTTCACAAAACTAAGTGCAAGATCACAGCTCTTGAATAAGATTAAGCAACTAATTGACAAATACAAAGATGAGGACTTGAGCATCTTATTCACAGGCCACAGCCTAGGAGCAACCTTGTCAATCCTAAGTGCTTTTGATATTGTGGAGAACATTACGACAGAGATCCCAGTATCAGCCATTGTATTCGGTTGCCCCAAAGTGGGAAACAAGCACTTCAAGGAGAGGTTTGATTTGTACCCCAATCTTAAGGTACTCCATGTGAAAAACACACTTGATCTAATCCCTCATTATCCAGCAAGGCTTATGGGTTATGTATATTTAGGCACTGAGCTAAATATCGATACAAGGAAATCTCATTACCTAAAGCACTCAAAAGATCCTGGCGATTGGCATAATTTGCAAGCTATGCTACATGTGGTGAATGGTTGGCATGGGGTTAAGAGGCAGTTTAAGCTTATAATCCAGCGGAGTATCGCATTGGTCAATAAATCATGCGATTACCTTAAGGAAGAGTGTCTTGTACCTCCATCTTGGTGGGTCGAGAAGAATAAAGGAATGCAGATGAATGAAGAAGGTGAATGGATTCTAGCTTGTCCTGAGGAATGTCCAATTCCTGAATTTGATTAAAAACATTCCCTCCTTCCCCAAGTGAAAACCCCATTTGACCCAAAAACCTTAGCCCTAACAAATGTTTCATTCTCCACAATTATTTTTTTATTTCACCTTCAATCAACCAAACCCCACTACTTTCTTATTTTAATTCACTTTTAATCAATCAAACCCTAATGTTTTGTTTTGTATATCTACCTTCAATCAACCAAATCCCACTTTCTTCTTTTTATTCACCTTTAATCAACTCACTTTCTTCTTTTTATTCACCTTTAATCAACTAAATCCCACTATTTTCTATTTTTGTTCACCTTCCTAACATCGTGTGCAAAAGGCATTACTTGGGGATGGAGTATAAGTTGTTTGGCTTCTTATTGTAATTGAGTTATTCAGAGACTAGATTGTAGATACATACCCACTATGCATTATAAGACCTAAAATTTTACCCCCTACATACATTATTTATGATCACATTCTCTAAACCAGTCACAATTATGGTTACGACATAATTTCAACAGGAGAAAAACATAAACCTTTACAGTAGTTTTGTAATTTAAATTCTCTCTTCAGCCTATTATTAGTACTACAATATTGAGAAATTTAATCACAATATTCTAAGAAAAGTTACAAAATTTTAGATGCATGTTAAAATAATGCACTACCATATATTTCTGAAGGGGGAGTGGTGATTAAATTAATCCTATTTAGCAGTTTGTATGACACTGCTACACTGCAACAGACGCATACCAGAAGTAAACAGAGAAGGAACAACTTCTAGTCATATATCAATGGACTTGAACTTCTCTTCCAAGGAAGGAAAAACTTTAAGACGTTGAGAACATAGAGCAATATGATCTATAGACTCTAGAGAAACTATAACTAACAGTGAATGAACAATTCCGTAAGCATGACATATAATTAATGAGGTGTTCGATCAGCAAACATCATAGGTAAATAAAATAAAATAAAATAAAATAAAAAAAAAAAAAAAAAGAACATCCAAAGCTAGTAAAATCATCTAACCTGTCTTAAAGCTTGATGTATAATATCATCAATTATAAACGGCCTTAGCATCCACATTTTGCAGTAGCTATCCAATTCACTGGTGGATGATTTTAGATTCAATGAAGAAACAATCTTTTCCTGCATTGTATAATCTTGTTTCACCATGCTGTATATTACTGCCATAGAGGAGGCACAACCAGCAGCATCAAGCATTCGAGAAGCAATTACTTCTTGTTCTGAACCCAGGGAATCCATATCTAATTGGTCATCTGGGTTCATGATCAAAGCATTGCCTGCCTTATCCATAAGACTTTGAAGTTCATCAACTATGCCTTTGGCTTTAAGTGAATAATCCCGAAGGTTACCCAAACTTCTGTTCAGCTGACTAACACTCACTGTGCTATCATAAGCATTAATGCAACCAGCTTCTACATATGCACCAACCCTCTTAGTTTCATTTGCTTTAACAATGCTCTTGACCAGCTCTGATGATTCAAATATTGAAGGGCGTCGAAGAAACTCAAGTGCCTGCTGAAATCTAACAAGAAACGTCTGGCCAACTTCCACTAACTCTTCAAACTTGATAACTCCCACCATAAATTCTGCCAGGATCCCCCTCATTTCATCATCAAGATTGGATTTTCCTTCTTCCATTCTGAAATCCATAAGAACATAAGTTGCCATACCAAAATGAAAAGCAATATATAAAGACGAAGTTTGTAGTCCTATGTCAAACATCACAATTATTCATCGATTATCAATCGACTAGCAATTTCTCTCTATTATCATCAATGTCATCCCTACAAGCTACGAGTACAAATTTACTTTCAATGTGGTTCATTATTTAGCAACTGACCTCACAATCTTACGCATAACATTTTTTAACTCCAATCAAAACAGCTTCATATCCAAGCACAAACTACCAAATGTTTAATTACCCGATAGTCACAAACTTCAACACCTACTCCCTCCATCTCTTTAAGTTCTTCCTATTTTGACGGTGAATGTCTCACAAAAATGAGTCAATTCCTCCTCGCTAAATACATACTACTATAGATGTCACGTGATAATGAAATACCATTAGACCTAAGAGCAGCAACCAAAACATACAAGCTAAACATACTTTTCAAAGATTATATCATGAAATCAACATAAATAAAGATACAACATTTTGATTTTATAAAAATGTCTCCTCATTATTCACTTCATTATTAATGAGCAATATTTTCAAAAGGGTTTGCAGCACAATTAGTTTGAAACCCACGCCCAATCCCGGGGTTGAAGTATTGGACAAGTTTGTTTATGGTTTGGTCTCCTTCAAGAAGAGATGAGAGAAAAGTTGGGATTTGGAGGGTAGTTTAAGGAGATATGAGAACATGAGGGCGTTGAAAAAAGAGAAGAAAAGATTCTAAGGACGATGAAAATTTTGGATGTAGATGGATGGAATAAGGATGGAAAAAAAAAAAAAAGAGGGCAAAGAATAAAATGTGAACGCCGAAAATGGTCAAACACTCGAAATCCGATAAAAGGTACTCTTTTTACACCATTTTTATGCTTTTTACACTCGAATCTCTGTTATTGCACAGGTAACTGAGGTAAGAGTGTACACCTCACCGGTCACTCGCCCCCCCCCCCCCATCCACCCACCCCCCTAAAACACTGGTAAACCAATATTCTGCTTCGCAACAGGATGTCGAAATTCAGGCCAAAAGGCAAACCAGTGTAACAACCTTTAAAAGAAAATTCAACATGCAAATCAAATTTAAATTCTTTCAAAAGGGTTCAACATAACACAGCAAAAACACATTTCTTGAAACAAACATAGGTTTAACAGCGACAGTAGTTTGAGCTCAAATCATAACAATAACAATAACAATCTCACTATAGAAACTTAAAGAACTCAAGAAACATTATCGAAATAGCATATCAAAACCAAAGGGCATATCACTATAGCAACCAAATTTGATTCAATTATCAAACAAAGGCCCGAAAAATTACATAATTTTAGGGATATGTGATTCAATTATCAAATTTCTAGCAACATTATCACTGGTTATGATCATTCATAATCTTAGTATTTAGAACCTATAGCTGAGATTTTCGAACCCTACACTTACTGCATTAACAATTAAGTTAAATAAGATCAAAGATGAACCCTCAGTGGCGTCTCCAGGATTTGCGAAGTGTGGGTTCGAAACTTCAGAAGTTCGGAATCATAATTAACAAAGGGAAGAAAATATAATAATTAAAAATTAAGTACATAAGTTCATATTATGGATTACAAATAGATTACACATAGAAAAATGAAAAAATAAAACTACAGAAGCATTTTTCGAGTATATCTCAAATTCATTATATATCACTATATCTCAAATTCATTATATATCACTATACCACAATGGCACAATCTACAATTTTACATTATATATCATTATATCTCAAATTCCAAATCAAATTAGCAATTATCATTTACCAATAACTCAATACGACAATAAAGGCAGCAAGGCACTAGTCACTTAGTCAGGCACTCAAGGTCACAGGCAGCAAGGCACTTGGCAGCAATTCAACAAGACAACAAATGCCATTAGACTAAAACTAAAAGACAACATTCAGTCAGTCACAATTAGTCAATTAGACAATTTCTGAATTTCGACAACAATCACAACATTCACAAATTACAATTAGACAATTTCAATAACATTCACAAATCACAATTAGACAATTTCGAGTTTTCGACAATTGACAACAATGAAATTATGAAAGACAGAAAGACAGCATTATCGCTACTCGCATTGAGCATTCACAATCACAGATTCACAGCAAGGCAGCAATAAGCATTAAAGGAAACCGGAAAGGCAAGCTCACCAGGCACCAGGTCGACTGGTAGAGGCCGTGCCGCCGTGAGCCGATTGATCGAAGTGCCGTCTGCGATTGCGGTATGTTGAAGGACTGAAGCGTCACGAACTGATTGATTGAACGAAGGTGGCCGGTGAAGGACGACTAAAGGCGGAATGCGTCACGGACTAAAAGGTGGCCGGCGGGCGGCAGGCGGCGGGCGGAGGGCGGCGATTGGCGAGATTTAGGGGAGTAGGAGTTTAGAGGAGCGCTGCAAATTATGAGATTTAGGGGAGCGCTCAAAAAAAAAAAATGGCGAGAGCGTGAAGTGTGATGTTTTGGAGCGCTTCAATGGAGAACTGAGAGAGAGAAGGGAGCAAGAGGAGGAGGCAATTGGCAAGTACGCAGGGCTATCAGGCTATGTTCATCCGATTTATTTTTCTTATTGTCTTATTGATAGAGCAATTCAATGGGTTGGACTGTTGGAGCTTAGAGCCCCATTAATAAAGTGGATAGCTGAATGGGTCACATCCGTGTAATAAATAAATGTGTTGGGGCCTTACACGATCTTACGTGATTATAGGTATAGGGGGCGTTTTAGTTGATTTTTTTCAATAAACATGGGTTGTTTAATGACCCAAATTTACACCATTCAGGTTAGAACCGATAACACCATTAGCGGTTTTACCAAAAATGTGTATTGTTTATGGTGGACCTACTAACACATTTTTTGCTGTTTATTTACAAGTTTATCATCTCGATGAACATGAGTGGTTTATTATGGAGTAAAATGATAAACTAGTATTATTCTCATGTATTTTAATGTAAGTAAAGAATCTTTGGTCAAAATTTTAAACTTTAATTATAAAAATTACACAATTATATGTAGTTTGCTACACGGTGTGACCCACCAACATGAGGGCTTCTTTGTTAGTGTTATAAGGGTTACTCGGTCCGTGTTACAGGGGTTATTTCGTTAGTATTATAGTGATTACAGGGGTTACCCGGTAAGTGTTATAGGGGTTACTTTGTTGTTTTATAAGTGGCTACATGGTATAACCAACTGCACACAAGACGGGCTGAAAAAAGTACAAACAAAAAATGTTGATCTTGGGGCATAACAGAGATAGTGCTAGGTTCAATGCAGAGCCAGAGAGAGCAGTGAAAATGAGTAGGAAAACCCGAAGACTAGGGTACAATCAAAGCTGAAAATTACCATTTATAATCTTTGGCTAATAGGAATTACTTCATATAATTTTTCAGGAGGGGTGTGAAATCTACAGATGCTTTACATTATAAAAATTTTGTTCAAAGTTTCTAGTAAATGTTCTGAAGAGCTTAAAGGATTGCTTTTGATGTAGTAGTGTTGCTTCTTGGCAGGCCAATTTGCAAGCTCTTGGCCCCTACCTACAAAGATATTTGGACAATGATATACTTGTTTTTGTAATGCCGTGCATTATTTAATATCTTTCATATGCATCATGCAGACTAGTAGGCTGTAACACTTATTAATCGGAGCTTTGATCGCAGGCATATTTGGCATGAATTTGAGGTCCTATCTTGAAGAACATGTGGTATGTCTTTGGTAGTCTAGTTATATTTTGAATATCATTATTTCAAAGATAGGGCCAACATGTGTTTCACTACAATATAGCTTCTTTGAAATATGAGATCTAAGTAGATTGCATGCTTAAGATAGATATAGGTAAACCTTGAAATCTTCTCCCTTCAAATGCTGACTTAATTTCACACTTTTCATTATATTTTTTTTAAAAAGTCACAATCTATATTCTTTTTCTACTAACACCATTTTCCAAAATATTTATGATTATATACTCATAATGACTTTTGTCACATACAAGACAAATATTGTATGGATCACGATCATGTTCAATTAAAAAAATGTGCATATTCATGTAAAGCACTGTTTGTTTGTCTATTTTCAATCTAAGATGAAATTAATAGTCCGCTCTTTTGATGCATTTTGCATTTTGGACGACAATAGCAGGGATCATGATTGGTATTGTGGTTGGATTTTACCTTATGTATGTATATCTCAAGAAGAGGAAATTATTGTAGCTTTGTTCTCTCAAAAATCTAAGTAAAGTGGGTTTCTTAGTTTAGTATAATCATCTCATTGTTGGGCTGCTTCACTAGGTTAGCTAGCTTAATTTATTTTTATTGTAATTTTAGGGAGGAAGGTTGTATAATTGTAGAAGAGATATCATGTAAACGGGGGGTGTATTACTACATGTATTTTTCATGTAAAAAACTCATTATTTCTGGTAGTAATTGACAAAATCACAGAATATCTAAATAAAGTTGTTTGGCTTATGAATTCATCTCCGTTTCAGTCTTGTACCCAATTTTTACCCACTTAGGTTGATTCTCTATTGTGAATTACTCCCAGCAAGCTGAACCAAGGCAGCAACCCCAAGTAGCACCCAGCAGCAACAAAAGGACAGCAGCCAAGTTGCAGTATCAACACAGACGAGCAAGAAGGGGAGCATGTTGTAGCAACCTGAGAAACTAGCAGCAGCAGGAAACCAGCGCAGCAGTAGCACCCCACCAGCAGACCCAGAATCAGTTGCGATACAGTAGGCAGCACCAACAACAAGGAGCAAAATGCACTAGCCAGAACTGCAAAACAGGCAGCAGTAGCCAGAACCTGCAGAAATAGCACCCAACAGCACCAGAAACAGAGACTTGCTATAGTGCCTGGTTGTAAACCAGCCCCGGTGCAACAATAGGACAACAGTAGCACCAAACAGGAGCACCAGCAAAGAACCCCAAACAACCAGCAAGAACAGCCGGGACAAGCAGCAAGCAACCCAGCAACACCAACCCCAGGTTGCAGCAACTAGAAGGGAGCAAGTTTATTATGAGTTTTTTTTTTAAAGGTGTATGATCAAACAATGTATACATTACAAGTTTATTAATAATATGTATTACAAGTAATATATATATGGTTTTTGCAATACAAGTTTTTTTAATAATATGCATTATAAGTTTTTTGAAAGGTGTTTGCTGTCAGAAAAAAAAAAGCAACAAAAAAAACAGGTTATTAGCATCGGTTCTTAGCAAGAACCGGTGCCCATAACAGGTTTTTAGCACCGATTCTCAGAAAGAACCGATGCGAATAAGAGGTTTTTAGCACCGGTTTTGAACCGGTGCCAAAGTTTTTTTTTTTTAGCATCCCTCAAATCTACACCGATTCAAAACCACGGAGCAGGTTTCAATGTAATAATTTATAATTTCAATACTTAACATAATTACTAGTGTAATGTTTAATTATATACACATATATCTTAAGAAAAATTGGTTTTAATCTCAACTTTTGGTCATTATATTAAATAATCCCAACTTTTCGATTATTCAAGAATGATCCCAACTTGGGGGCGTTTTCTTTCTATTGGTCGATGATTGGTGACCCGATGAAAAGGTTAAAAAAAACTGCCAAATATCAAATGCTAATTGATCCAAAAAAAAAATAACATACAACAAAAATGAAAAAAAAAATCCCTTACCAAAGGCGGAGATACATTGGTGCACACTGGTGCATGTGTGTAACACCTTAGAAATTCCTTTTCCTTAAAATACCCATTTCACCCTTTTTAAAATATGAAAAAGGAAAATCTAAGACATTACCGCCACCGTGAAAACGGCTAAGGCAAATATCAAAGACTCACACACAGCAGAAGACTATTTTTAAAAACCATTTAAAACAAGTCAACTTAAAAAGTCAAACCAAACGAAAGTAAAGTCAAACTAAGTCAAACGAAGTCAACCTACAATTTGGAACAATTGCAGGCCCTTAAAACCCAATCAATATTTAAAACCTTTGCGTTAGTCTCATGATCATAATAAAATAAATAATATTCAAAGCAAATAAAACACATCATATTCCTATGAGAATTAAGCATGATTCGCTCTTCACTCATGCCCATCATGAATATGTTTCATTACCAGTAAAGCTCCTCACTACTAGTCCCCACTACTCGCCATTAGAAATGGGTCCTCGTAGGGCCAAGGTAAAGAAAAAGCCAACAAACATGCAAACACACACAATCAGCAATGCTGAGTACATAAGCATAATAAAACACGCTAACATGCTTTCATCCTAACATCACACAACTTACCGTGTAGCACCTGTTTACAAGCATACAAAACATCCAACACCTAACTAGACCACTATCAATGTTCATTTAATTTTGATTACACATCGAACAGGTTTCCAACCAAATCCCTGCCTCAAATAAATTGAGGTAAATTATACCGGAAGCTAACCGGGTAGGCAAATTAAATGTCACATGAAATGACTGGACGTCCTGCGCATAATAATAATAAAAAGGAAAATACAGCGTCCTGTACTCCCAGTAGAAGTTATGGTCAAATATAAAGTCGCATAACTCCCCCCATATGTTCATACTCAAGGTATATACGTTCTAAGAGTTTTGGTGTGTAATCTCTTCCGCTTTACGTTATTTACATATTATTAGACTCGGTGATGACTCTCAAACCATAACACAATCAAACATTATCATTCATTCAAGCAATCAAGCATACCAATTTAATTCTGAATAATTATTGACCACATAAATTTAATAGTTGAACCCTTTTTAATCTACCTCAATGTCAAAGACGCCTTAAACGCATAATGCGCCGCAAATCCTATCCCTCGGTGTTAGAAACACCTTAAGTGCATATAAGCATCGCAATATAATTTATTCCTGTGTACTAAGACACTTAAATAGCTCCCTCCTCATGCTTATAGTATCAATAAAAATTATATGAACCATAATAAAATTCCCTTTTCATATTCCAAACCAAATTAAACATTTAGTTTAATTAAACATGCTCTCTATCATGCCAATATTAAAAGTGTGGTTCATACGCAACATGTCAATATAACTAATTCCAATCACCAATTCACCATAAATAATTCATACATCACAAATCATTCATCAACTCATTCCAATCACAAATTCCAATCAACACCTATCATGATATTACTTGGAATTAATTCATCAAAGCCTAGCATGCTTCTATATATTCAAATAAATACCAAGTACGCGAACGTACCTTGAATATGATCTCAAAATCGCCATGACTAAATAAAATCACTCACTTGAAAGTCTCCTACAAGCCAAAAATATAAAGAAGTATTAATACCTCTTTCACACAAATTTTCAGCAATATATACTCTCCTTAAATCACTCATAAACCCTCTAAAATAATTTGAAATTTTATTTAAAACCCTTACTTTTATTCCCAATTAATGGGTAATTAAAAATCTTTTCAAGAAACATAATTATAGCTTATATATAAAAATTCCAGCTTAATTTAGTTTAAAAACATTAATTTCAATAGTTTTAATCAACCACAATCAAATTCCATCAATATACATTAATTTAGAAACCTAGGGTTTTCAATTTGGGGCTTTTTAATTTAAAATTAAATTTGAAAATTAAAATACAAAATACTTACTGGCGTCACCACCCACGGCTACTGCTGCTGCCGTACTTGTGCTGGCGGCGGCGGCTAGCTGTGGTGGTGGTGGCAGCCGGCCACCGTGTGGTGGTGTGTGGTGGTGGTGATTAAATAAATAAATTAATTAATTAAAGGGGAAGGGGAAAAATAAAATAAGAAGAGAGAGAGAATTTACCTTTGGGTGCACTCCACCTTAGGCGTATGATGGGTATTTATACCCTCTCTCATAACCTCCTACTTACTACCCTTAATAATCCCTTCCCTACTCAAACTAGGATTCCTAATCAAACTAGTATTTTGACTTTCTTTAAAACTTTGACTTTTAAAAATTATCTTTTATAAAATAATATGCCCCAATATTTTTAAATCATAAAATAAAATATTTTCAAGATTATTAAATAATTAAAAATAAACTTTTTAATTGGAATAATTCTATTTAAATTAATAAAAACTATAAATAGTTCATTTTAAATTATTTAAATACTTTAAGAAATACTTATTTAAATTAAAATACGTATAAAAATACGGGGTATTACAATGTGCATCACCAACCCAAAAAAAATGAAGTTGGATTTTCTTAAAAAAAGAATATCAAAGAGACCAGTTATTTAGTTGTAATAATGCAGTATTCACTCCCTCTTTATTCCCACTGCTTCATTCTTATAATTAAAAAACAACCGGTCTCTAAGGTCATTTTTGCTATTCTTAATAGTAATGGGTCAAAGTGAACGGTTATATTAAACAACCGGTCTCTAAAGTCATTGTACTTTATTTTATTTGTTTTACTAATAAAAGTAATGAGTCGGTACTATTTGTTTCATGTTATTTGTAGTAACTTCGACTTGTTAGATGAATTTTTTAAGTACTTTTTAGTTGTAGTATGAATGTTTGTGTCCTATTTTTGGATTGAAATCAATTTGGTTGGTATATAATTTTTTTTAATATAATTTTTGGATTGAATACAATTATGAGCTAGACCCCCCTTTTTTTTGTGTACTTTCTTATGTGATCAATAAATGATGGTGACTCACCAACTCGAAAACCCTAGATCTGCCACTGCCACTAACCACCTTCTCCCTCCCTAGCTTCACTATTAACCACCTTCTCGCTCCCCAACTTCACTAGTAACCACCTTCTCCTCCCTAGCCCCACCAAAAACCACCACCTTTCCTTGAAAACCACTTGCAGCCCCACCCACTTCCCTCGAAACTACTCATAGCCTCACCCCTTTCCCCTGAAACAACCTTTCAGTCCTCCCTTCTCTCAAAACAACCGTAGCCCCACCCTCTCCTTCCCTTGAAACCACCTTAACTCCACCCCCTTTGTCGAAATCACCGTAGTCGCACCCCTTTCCTCTTAAGCCACTACTTTCAAGGCGGTTTTGGACCTAGGTTAAGTTTCAAGGTGATTTCAAACCATAGTTTGGGGGGGTGGGTGGGGGGTGGGTTGGCTTTCAGGTGGCTGGGTTAGGTTTTGGGTGAGGCTAAGGGAGGAGGAGTCGATTTCTGGTAGGTGAGGAGAGCATGGTTTTGGATGAGGGGTTGAGGAGGGATGGCGTCAGCGGTGGGGTGGTTTTAATTTATTTTATATTTTAAAAATTGTTTTTAATTGTTTGGATCAATCAAGGGCTTAAACACATGACAAATAACTTATTATAATAGGATTGTTGACTTTTGTTGACCGGTCATGACATGTCAGAAGAAAACGCCCCAAAATTGGGATACTTAACAATAAATAATGACCCAAAATTAGGATTACTAAAACCAGTTTTTCATACGCAGTATATCTTAATGGTCAAAAATAAAATTGACAAATATAACAACTTTAATAATGTCGATTATTCTTCAACGAAGAAAGTAACCGAGAAGCTGTAACCCACACGGCCCACGGCCACTCTCAAAGAACACTGTAGTAGGAACTAGGAAACCCCCTTCAAATAAAAACCACGAACCGTCCATAAAACAACTTTCAGAAATCAAATGTCTTTTGTCTGTCCGAAACTACATCACTTCAACGGTCACTTTTTCTACTCACTGCTCACTACTCATTCCCAGCACAAAAAAAATTACTCAACTCAACAAGAAAGAATTACAAATAAACCAGATACCTGAATTCAAACTCTAATTAACAAAGATGGCGAATTTTATCATCACTCTCTCTCTCTTACTCTCTCTCCTCCTAGCAGTAACCTTTCGGCCCATTAAGGCCCAACTAGAAGAAAAAGCAGTAATACAGCAGCAGCAGCTATGGTGTGTGGCAAAGAACAACGCCGAGGATTCCGCACTTCAGCAGGCCTTGGATTGGGCTTGTGGGCCAGGTGGTGCTAGCTGTGGCCCAATCCAAAATGGTGGGCCTTGTTATGATCCAAATGATCTTATTGATATGGCTTCTTATGCTTTCAATGATTATTGTTTAAAGCATGGTATGAGTGAAGAGACTTGTAACTTCAGTAACACTGCTGCTCTTACTGCTCTCGATCCAAGTAATTTCTCTTTCTTTTTTTTTTTTTTTTTTTTTTTTTTTTTTTTTTTTTTTTGTTTTGTTATTTTTCTTAATTTTTAATGCTACATTCTAATTTTTGAATTGTTGAATTTTTTTTTTTTTTTGGGGAATTTGCAGGTCATGGAAAGTGCAAATATGCTTCAAGGTAATTAATAATCTTTAAAAGTTGTTAAAATTGTCTAATTTTATTGGGTTTTGATTTTTGAAGTATTATTAAGAATTGTTATTTATTTCTTGTCAATTGGTAGTCAATATAAATATGCCCTTTTGATTTGGATAAATTATAGGGCATTAATTAGTATTAATTGCTTAATATTAGAAATAAAACTATAAAAGGGTGTTACCAATTTTTATTTGTGCCATTATAAAGGAAATTGTTTTTTTTTTTGTTTGATGAGCATAATAAGGGAAAATGCTATGTTGTACAGGTTGTTCTAGCTCTATTTCTAATGTTGAAATATATTCATCTATGGAACTAATATTCTAAATTGCAATCCTTAGTTTCGGGAGAGAAATAGAATTAGTCTTGATATTGACTGAATGTTTGTACTTAATACTCTTAAGTCTTAACATGACCATAGATTTTTTGTCTGAAGAGCCACTTTTAGCTAGCTCTTAACTCTGTAGATTTTTTATGAGTTGGTCTATTTCGCGTATTTGTTTGTTTGCAATCACATATGATGTGTCAATGTGGTCGGATATGATGATTCGATGAGAATGGAATGGGAGGGATGGATGGATAAGATACATTCCTTCCACCATTATTGTTGTGTTAGTATACAATTTTTTTGAAAAACTTACCTATTGCTTTAGGATTTGGCAATAATTTTTATATCTTCGGAACAAATTATGACGGATCAACTTATAGCTTATTTAGATGTGGTAAAAGATGTAGTGTCCTTTTGGAGGAGCTCAATCTTCTCTTGCTTTCAAGAAATTTAGCTAACCAAACATCTCCAAATGAAAAGTTTTCCATCTTTACAAATGGATAAATGCTGAGCAGTATATATTGCATGTTACTAAGGTGTTTTTGTCTCATAGTGGAAGTGCATGATACACCTTTCCATTATTAATAATCAGTGAAGTTGACACTTTGCCTTTGATATCCTTACGCTCCCCTGGAATGAAATCTGCATAGTGCTTAGTTTTGATGCGATGATTGTTTTTACCCTGTGAATGGATATGTCAATGGAGATCTTAAGGGTTGTTGCAATTAAGGATAAGACTCTAAAAACATTAAGGGTTGTCTTTTGGAAGAAAGTAGGGGGTTACATTGATTGAGTACAAGATGAGAGAGAATCGGTTAAGATGATTTAGCAATGTAAGAAGGAGACCAAGTGAGGCTCCGGTAAGGAGGCTTGAAGTGTTGTAATCCCTTTTTGTGTGGCTTCTTACAATGTATATGGATGGGAGGTTTTTAATAGACAGGGGAGGGAGAGTCGTAGATTAGGGGATGAGAAGGCAAGAGACATGATGTGAGGGATCCAAATTTCTTGCAACTTGTTTTAGGATATAGTTTATGTTGTAAATTCTAAAATGGGGTGATTAACTTAATGACATGGAGAATAATTCCCTATCTGGTAGAGGTTACTCTGAAACATCTTTGGACTCATGGTTTTCCCACATGGATGAAGAGCTTATATTGATAAAGTAAGGTCTGTTTGTCATCAAGCCAGGAATGAGAAATATGTTAACCACAAAAACCAGCATTAATTTGCATATACTGAAGTTGGTGACATTTAAATGAAGTTTTCATAGTGGAAGAAGAAATGCCTTTGGTAATAAGTGAAGTTTTTAGTTATTCCTCAATTTCCTTGACATCCCAATTATGACATGTCATAGTTTTGACGTGATGGCAGTTTTCTTCCTATCAATAGTACTCTGGTGTGGCATACAGCTTTAATATTTTGATTTCTTTTATTTTCAATTTTATTGTATGTTTTTATTTTTTATTTTTGCTTAAAGAGAAACGCTAGGAGTGTTAATCTTTATCTGTTTGAGAATTTTTGATGCTGAGGTGCTACATAGTTTCATGGATTACAAGTCTGCCAGGGGTGCATGTTCTGAAGTGTTATAAAATGTTCTCTGAATATGGAATGTGAGTGAATTTGTAAGATGAAGGCTCATATACCTTCAGCACTTAGGAGTATATTATTGTAAGGCTCCTACTGAGTATTTAGTAACTGACAAGTGATCATTGTATAACTGAACTGACTGTTATGACAGCAAATGTTTGTTACATTAGCTAAAAGTAGACTGCCAGTTAAAGAGACTATTTATAGAACTTGACGAGGAAGCCCTTCAGCCTCTGGGACAGATATTTTCTATAGTAGCCTGTGAATTCAGGATTTTTCTTATTTCTCAAAATTCTCTAATTCTCAAACATGTATATGAATTAATCAGTTGTCACATTGCCCAAAGCTAATTAGGATGTGGTATAGTTATACAAACCAATAAAATCAATAGGTTTGATATAATTACTGTTTTAGGACTTGACATCCTAATATTGTGTATGTATGCATTTTTTTTTTTCACTGAAGGTGGGAGTACTTAATTAGCATAGTTAGGTTTTATGTAGTTATACTTTAGCTTTATGGATTACATGCAAATTGTTTATTATTTTTTTTTTCATCCTGTAATGCCATCACCAGTATGGAGAATTTTATTTTCTCAACATCCTAGAGTAGTACATGTGACTGTTATTTCTAATGATGAGAGTACTTATTTAGCAAATACGAATTGTTAGTAGTTACTTTGTATTATTTTACTTTATAGGTTCAATGCCACCTGGTTTTTTGTTCTTGGAATATGATAATGAGTATGGAGTAATGATTGTGCAAAAAATTTAGATGCTATCATGTTTATTAGTCTTTAGTTATTTTCTGAAGCTTTGTTACATGACCATTTGGTTTTTAATTATAATTTTTGCTGTTGCTGCAGTATTTTCACTGCTGCAAATTCTACCACCCCTTCAACTGCAGGAGTCATCCCAGGTAGTGAAGACTTGAACGAGACCTCTCAGTTTGCTGCAACAGAGGTTAGGACGTTAGCCCTCCTTAATTTGCTTCTCGCAATCGTTATACTCACTATAACAGATGAGAATTGGTGAGAATTGGATGTATTGAGTGAAGCAAGTCAGTGAAATAGAGCTAGGCTTAGATCTTGCTAATATCATTCCTGGAAAAGTTTTGTTCCCGGCTTTGATTCTTGTATCTTTCATGAACAATTGATATATTTCGTTGGAACCTATCTGGTTTGTAAAACCAATTAATATATTTTTGTTGTTGTGCAGTGTACAGTATCTCTTATTCTCTGCCCTTCTATTGGATTCAAATCAGTGATGTTTTGTGTGTTTTTTGCTTTTGATTAGCTATGATTCAATTCCACTGTTGTGATCCCCGGATTCCCACTTCCATAGTTTACAGGCATAGTTGCTGCGCTTGTACAGTTTCTGTCCTTCGATTGGGGTTTAAATGATTTTACTTTTCTTGCATATTGTTCATGATAGCTATGGTTCAAGATTCGATTACCAAATCGAAAGTGGTCTTCTAATTTTCTTACGAAGTACGAATTATATTTTCAAAGGTGAGCGTGAGCCTGTCCCAGTTAAAGAGGACAAGGAGTAGCAAACTGATAACAGTTTAAATTTTCCACAGCTCATACTAGAAAGTTTATTAAAAGTTCTCTGGGTCAAAACTATTGAATCTTCATTTACTATTTATTTACCAATCTCAATCTTGATGTATTGATTTCTACTTGGCCCAAATTACAAAATATACTTTCTTACATTTATTCAGTTTTGATCAAGATCTACCTTTGCTCAAACTTGAGTAATGTACAAAAGTGCCATAAATGGATATTTTGTCATTTCATATTATTGATCCCGAATGAAGATGTCAATTAGTGTCTAGGATTTAACACAAGTACTTGAGGAGAATTCAAGAGTTCGAGTAACATAGTTCGAGCTAAATACGTTTTCTTTCAAGCGTGATGCAACCCAAAAGACTACTAATTATATAAACTGATACTTGTAGCAAGAGCTCTCTCAGTTTCTCTTTAGTGTTATAAACTAAAGCAAGCAAACTATTAAAATTTAATCAACAAACAATTGATATAATTGGCTGATTAAAAGACATTCTAAGTGTGAAAGAAAAGATATCAGCTGTTTTACGTTATTGACAAAATGCCAATTATATTTGGTAACCTTGGACAGCTGGATAAAAAAACAATTAGCAGTTGATTCTTTATTGCTCCAGGAATAAATAAATAAATAAAAAACAAATAAAGGAAAAAAATAGGGAATTAAGTCAATAGGATTGTTAAGGTTGTGATTTGAAGATTTAATAATTAATCAATCGAATTTATACTAACCCCTAGAAAAACATAAACTTTGATTAAATTAGTTTACCAAATAAGTGTACAAAATTCTACTTATCTTTTGGTCAAGACAAAATTGAAAATGTATGCTTATGTTTATACTTAATTAAACAACTACATTGAAAAACTCTTTTCATGTTCTGACTCTTTTTTTGTTTTTTTTTGTTTTTTTTTGTTTTTTTTTTGTTTTTTTGAGTTGAATCTCATACAAAATATATTAAATAATGATACTATTGTTTATAATGTATGCCTATACACTAATATTAAACGAATAGAATTTCTGCAAAATGTCAGAGATCATTGCTGAACTTGATTCTGTGGATCAATTTCTTCAAAAACTTGCATTCTGCTTGAAGATAATGATCTTTCCCTACTAATGATCTTCCTAAAAGAGCTCATTCGAAAGCTTGACGATGATGATCCGCTTCCAGCATTAATAATCTTGCTAGGATTATTACTATTATTGCCTGAGCTTATCACATCCTGAATATTATGTTCAAGACCTTCTGAAGTAACAACCACTACCTCGGTCAGGTCACTGACAATGGGAGGTTCTCGGTCTAGCAGGGTTAATTGAGGAGACACTTCAGACCGACAAATCGGGCACGTTGCTTGGCCACTGAGCCACTGATCGATGCACGACGTATGGAATACATGATTGCAGTTGGGTAGACGCCTAACTTGCTGATCCTCCTCCAATATGCTTAAACACACAGAGCATTCAATGTGTTCGTCGTCATTTTCCATCTGCTTGAACAGAGTTGATGGTAGCAAACTGATGGCTGTTGGATCAAGTCCGGATTTTGCTGTTGGGGAATCACTGAGCTGCACCAGGTCAGGGTGGATGAAGGTTAAGGTGGGGTTACGGCGTGGGTGGCGTAGGACACATCTAGCATAAATGTGAAGAAGTGTTACTAGGAGGATAACGAAGCAGAGGGATAGTATAGCTGTTACCATGATCTTGCTGTTAAGTTCATAGGTGATTCTTTTGGTGGCGTCGTGTTGGTCTCCGTCCCAATTCATGGCTCGATTCGAAGACGGGAGATGACGGGGAGAGATTTGAGTGAAGAAATGTTGGAGAAACTTGGAACTATGCAAATTTATATGCATTTCAGTTGATGTATGAGCTTTGTTTTCTCAGAATGTGAAGGGAGAAGGTGACTAATATTTGTAATTCTTTGAAAATTTGATCCATAAAAACGATTGACTGTTGACCTTTGAATGATGACTTGGTGAGATGGACTTCTAACAATATAAGTTCTAACTCTTTGTGTAGTTTAAGGCTTACTTTCGTATGAATTGATATTGGGGATTTATTGACTAACTTATAATACAAGCTATAGGCTAAGTAACCTTCAAAAATCTAACAGTTATTTGAATGGAATACATACTTTCTGTCTTAAATTCATTCATTCTTGACGTAAGCTATATTTTCTATTTTGGAGCCAAACACTCAAACTTCATAAACATTGAAAAACAACATTCATATGAAGCATGTTCAAAACATTTTTAGGGCCTAATTAATATTCAAGTTGGTTTCATTTAAGGGTCATATAGGTCTAGGAATGACAACGGATCGGATTTGGGTTGGATGGAGCTTCACCCGCATCCACCATCCGCTCCACCCGATCCACCCGCCACCCGCATCCGATCCATCCATCATCTGCGGGTGAAACGGGTGGATCGGATGCTTAGCGGGTGATAATTATAATCCTACTCTTAACTAATTTTTTTTTATTTTTTTTTTAAAAAAATCTTTTAGCCAATATTAAACTTGAATAGTAAACTACTTCGTATTAATTAACTTTCAATTCTATATTACAACAATAATCAATAAATAAAAAAAATCATGAACTTACTTGCAATTGTTACATTTTTTTTTTCTTTTTTTTAAGAAAAACGGCTCACTTAAAATAAATCAAACCTAGGATAAAGCATCCATAGTTACATATGGTGAAACTTCATGTGGACAATGATTATCCCACACTTGTTCGGTACCAAACGGAATGAGCCTAGCAAGATGATGAGCAACATAGCTACCCTCTCTTTTAACATGAGACCAACTAATTGACATAAATGAATTACAAGCATGTAAAATATCCCCAAGGACTGAATCAAGGTCTGTGAACAACAGAGCACCTCTCGAGAGGCGTTTGATGAGAAGTTGGCAATCAGATTCAAGAATAACATTCTCCAGCCCACGCTGCTTCCCCAGCTTGAGAGCCATGTCTATGGCTTTTGCTTCAGCAATTTCAACAGGCCAAGTAGCCCGCACCCTTCTCGTCCCAGCAAAGATTACCTTGCTTGTGCTGTCCCTAGCCACCACACCCAAGCCTATCCACGCATCTTCAGCAAGCGACGCATTGGCATTAATCTTGATGATACCATCAGGTGGAGCGATCCATCTCTTCGGGCTAGAGGGGGGCTGCGCACCAACTATCTTCTGAACACGGGCAGTGTACTTCTCCAGCTCTTCCACCCACCGAGCTACTCTTTCAAGCAACACAAAATTTGGAGTGACCTTATTCTCAAATACTTTCAAATATACACCAAGCTAAGAGAACACCCCTTTGCACCACCTTCGAGTCTAGCTCTCCCCACAGCTCAACCAAATCACACATGCCACCCACCTCTTCCCACCGCACCTTAATTGAACAGCCACTCTTCCCAAAGCTCTCTCACTCGTACACAATCAAACAAAGCATGCCCAATCGTCTCATCCTCTGGCACCACGGACAGCAAGCATTCTCAGCCATATGCCGCGTGAATAGCAGCCTCCTAACTGGCAGAGTATTAGTGCAGACTCTCCATAGGAAATGACGGGCCTTCGGAAAAACTTTCATCTTCCACAAATCCACAAAAGCTTTGTGGAAATCATCAAAATTACAAATCCCAGCATGTACGACGTTTTTACGGAGTACTCCCCATCCATAGAAAATGCCCAAGTAGTCTCGTGATAGTATAGTATAGCTGGCGGTACTTGCAATTGTTACATATTATACTGAGGAGGGGGGGGGGGGGGGTGGGTGGTTTAATTTTATATTTTTTTAAAAATAAAAATTAAATAAAATTTAGATTTTTTTTTGTAGAAATATACTTACATAGTACAATATATGAAAATTGAAAAAAAAATAATTATATTTATGCGGATGGATGGCGGATCGGGTGATAAACGGATGACGAATCGGATGACCGATGAAACGGAGCTCCACCCAAATTCGACCCGATCCGTCACCGCTTCATCCATCATCCGCCCTTCATCCATTTAACGCGGATTTTCGTCCATTTATTTATTTCGGGTGGATCGGGTTTGTGGATATCCATTTAGAATTGCCATCCCTATATAGATCTTGATGCGTTTTAATTAACTTTTTAGGGCTTTCAGTTCACCTTTTCTGCATTCCAAAGTAAATAGGAGCACATAAACTTTATTTTATTGAAAAAATGGCTTCTTGTCTCATTATTGAACTATTCAATTAAGTCAGGATACCAACAGTAGATGTCTATATAAGATTATAAAATCATGCAAAACTAATGGTACACAAATAAAGCAAGTAAGTACACTAATATGAAGCATGATGCACATGATCGAGAAGAATTCTCAACATGAAGTCTTATCAATATATCTTATGTTCCTGCACTATGGTCAGTTTAGGCAAGAAATGATGGTAAGTGACTAAGATGGTGATCCACGATGAAAATTCCATCACTTAATGTGCTTTACCAAGCATATTCACACGTGCTAGGGTAAGCCGACTCCAAAAACGCCTATAACATGAGGTTAATTTGTCATCGGGTGCTAGTTAAGGAGACACTTTTTTGGTGTGTATAAGCTGCGTTTTGTAAATCATGACACTTAAATGTATTTAATTTATTCTGAAACATTAATAATTACCTTAACAAAGCCCATTTCTTTTGGGGGCAATTTTCTTTTATCATTTTTAATTTTGAAGTAATCACAAGTACCCAAAATCATTACTTTATTCATTTTAGTTTTTCCGTTTCATTTTAGTTGATATGTTTTATTAATTGACTTTTTATATAGAAATTACTTTGATATTTGTTGTGTTTTAAAAACGAAGAAAAATATATTCATGTGAGTTCTTATTAGATTCGTTTCAGTACATAATTAAACATTCACTTCTATAAATCTATTTATCGAAGATAGTTAAATATATTATTGATTGAAGCGTGACTAAAAAAATGTGTAACCTGCGACAGTCAAAGAATTGCCTTTTGAGAAGACAAAAATGACGGAGGGAGTAGAGTTTAGGCCCTAGCTAATTGGTATTATGTACAATGTGTTTGTGGAATATGTTTTCCCAACTTTTATTTCTTCACAATTTCCTATGTTTGATATGCCAAGGGGTGGAAAACTATTTTTCCAATTATGGAAAATTACATTCTTAATGGTAAAAAACATTTTCCATTACCAAGCAAGGGAAGTAACATGCCCCTCCTGGCCTCCTCCTTACATCCTTTTACTTTTCTATCATCTATCTTCACATTTTTACTCCTATTTTCAATTTTTTTATCACAATTTTTTGTTAAAAAATAAACAAAGGAAAACTAATTTGCAATTGTGATTTTCTTTGAAAATAAATTTTTCAAGAAGAACTAATTTTTCATCAAAAATGTATTACATCAAACCCAAACAAAACCTTAATAAAACTTAAGTATATAAGCATCAAGTTTAAGGTCATTGCATGCCAGAAAGTTATCTAATATTGCCAAACTTACAAGGACGAACATCAAGACAAGGAATTTAAATCTTTTGTAGACTAATTAACATAACCAAAGATAGATGAATTTAATTGCTTAATAATGTAAGGTGCTAAATTGACCGAAAGGAGCCCCTATTTCTAGCAAAGGCGCAAAATGAATTGTCTATAATTTAAAGTCTAATGCTATGCTAATGGTCACAAATTCACAATTAAGTACATATGACAAATTGACAATAGGATTGGCTAACTAGCTAGTAACATAGGCTAAGATAAGCACTTGTAAGAAATATATATATGCACTTTTTTACATTATTCACTTACCCTACTTTAATTTGACTAATGTTTATCATTTATACATAACAAAAAATATAGTTTTGTGAATACATTTATTGGAATCGTCTCAATAAATAGATTATTAATTTTCAATTATTATATATGCCCAAAAGAAATGAAGTATTTATTGAAAAACGGATGGAGTAATACAAAAACATATCAACCAAACACTACAAAAACGGCTTCTAAAAGTAACTCTTACTTGTATGTTTTTGCCCACCAAAATGTAATGGCAAATTAGTTATTACTCCATACCTTTATATTATGTCTCTTCCTTTTCATTGTGCAAGTTGCAATTATAATACTAAAATGACACTTATACATGAATATTGATTCGCAGCTTTTTGCGTTCAATTAATTTTCTTTTGAGAGATTTACATGCATTAATTGGTATACAAAGATTTGCTCTGCTTTAGCAGCTTTTTGGATCCAATCAATAAAAGATCAATGGAATTAAAGGTAAGCAACACTAACTAGCTGGTTATGCGACATCAATACACTAATATTAATGAGCTCAGCTTATAACTTTGTTTGATTACAACTAAATAGATCCAACTAGAGCAGTTTATGGTGACATTTTTTTTAATTGATAATTTGTTTTTAGTTAGGTTTTGTTGTTTCGTGTAATTTATATTTGAAAGCGAGATTAATTTTTTACATTACTTTATGCTCTGAAGTGGGGATAAAAAAAAAAAAAAAAAAATTCATAAATCATAATAGTTTAGTGGATTTGAGCTGGTCATTTAAGTTAGAGTTTAAGATGAAAAGATGTTTGGAGGTTTACGTGAGTTTTGCATTATAAATATCAATGTGGACTCGTGGAGGCGTGGTTGCGGGGAATGGTTTTCTCGTTGCCATTCGTAATGTTCTTATAGATACTACTCATGGTTCTCTTGACAAGTCTTGAAGTTTCTTATCTATGTCACAAAAAAAAAAAGAAAAAAAAAGAGAGGTAAGTCTTGAAGTTGGTAAGCTCCTTCTTTTCCTAGACATTGAACTTCGATATGAAATGAATAAATTGGACTTGGACTAGTTGGCCTAAGACCTTGGATTGGACACATTGGATTGCATTAGAGTAGAGTAGATACAATAGGAGAAGAAATAGGATAGCAAAAGAGTAAGAAGACAAGATAAACTATGACTTTGTTTGGAAATTAGCGGGTAACTGATTGGTAAGAACTGATTGCATTAGCTGGTTTGACTAGCTGGTTACAATAATTGTTCTGACTAGCTAGCTGTTTGGTAAGAGCTGATTACGTACACTTGTTTGGTAAAATTAGAGTTTTAGTCATTTTGTAAGTAGAGCACATTAAACTTATCTTCACTATGATTATCTAACATTAAACTT